ACGAGGCGCTGCAGCTGATGCGCAAGTGGAAGCCGATCGGCTTCAAGGCCCGTGAGGAAGCAGAAGGCAAGAAGAAGGCCTCGGAGGCGGACTTCCTCATCTCCTTCGCTAGCCCCGACAGCAGCGAGAACAACAAGATCCTGCACCTTCTTACACAAGGAGTGCAATTTCAAGGTCAGTTCCGCTGCTTGGCTAGCCAAGTCTCCGTGGTTAGTTTCTGTTTCTGGCCATAGATTTGTCTGTGTATAAGTCTTCATGAGCATGGATGATGATACGACGATTAGTTTGGGGATGTTTTCGGCGAAGTTGGTGGCTTCCCCGGCTGATAGAGGCAAAGTGAGCTTTTGCCACGACCGCTCACTGGGCATGGGCATTCATGTGGTGGAGGGGCAGAATGCAGGGCGCATGGATCAGCAATTCAGCGACCTCGACCAAGTGCGGAAACCCGGAGAGTATCCACGGTGGTTCCTCCACTACAAGCGGGCGGCCGAAGAAACCAAGCACGGCATCCTCATCCTTCAGCTGACGAACGACTACTTCAAGCTGCGGGCTCAATTTTACGTTGCTAGCCATGTTGTGTTGATTAACATGCTAGTCCCTGGCCTCTTCGATGCTTTGCACGAAAGCAATACTCCCAACCAAGATGAACCAGTGACTCTGCATGAGGGGGGTGAGTAACGGTGAGTATCCATATTCCCCGAGCCTGACATTGAAGGGTGCGAGCAGGTCCAGTTGTTGTAGGTCTTCTGCTCATGGATCAGGGTTGTGGAAACTGCAGTCACGGAAAATACATAAGCAGCTTTCAGCGAGACCTCCGGAACCTCCGGAAAAAGCGTTTTGCTTGAGAAGGTTCAAGAGCGCTGAGCGACTCAGTGACTGGTACCGTTGCCCGGTTCCTGAGGTCCAAGGCATGCCGCTGGGAGTTTGGCTACGTGCGCAAGCCCGAGCTCGTGCACGTCTTCGTCCATGGCGCGGATGGGCCGCAGATCTTGCGCTGGCAGGAGTTGATGGCGAGGCCGGCACTCTGCAAGCAAGCCTTTGGGGGCACGAGCGATGATCGCGCGCAGCTGAACCAGGTGGCCGAGAACATGGCCAACGATGAGGAGGTGAAGGCTATGGAAGATCTCTTGGCCCAGGTGGGCAAGGCTGCAGACTTCCGTGGAGGCTCAAGAGCACCAGGCCTGGTGTGAGCTGCCCCTGCGGGAGATGTCCTATGCCCTGGCAACCGAAAGCCTCGGCGAAGAGAGCGAGCCAGCACTTAATGCTGCGAATCGCCTCATGGCATGCTTGATTGACACTGGCCACGCAGAGCGGGCTGTGGGCATGGGGACCAGGCTGCTGGAGATTGAGGAGCGTCACTACGGTGCAGACCACCCTCGGGCGGCAACGGCCCGCAACAACTTGGGGAATGCCTATGGAAAGCTGGGCGACTACCAGCGGAAGAAGGAGCTGCTGGAGCAATGCCTCAAGATCAATGAGCAACACTACGGCCCAGACCACCTGCACTTGGCGAAGATCCGCTGCAACCTGGGGAATGCCTATGGTGACTTGGGCGACTACCAGCGCCAGAAGGAGCTTCTGGAACAAGGCCTCAAGATCCTGCAGCAATGCTACGGTCCAGACCACCCAGAGGTGGCGACGACGCTCAACAACCTGGGGTGTGCTTATGGAAATTTGGGCGACGACCAGCAGGGGATGGAGCTGCTGGAGCGATGCCTTAAGATCAAGGAGCAACACTACGGTGCAGACCACCCTGAGGTGGCGACGATGCTCAGCAACCTGGCGACTGCCTACAGACGCTTGGGCGACTACCAGCGGGCGATGGAGCTGCTGGAACAATGCGTCAGGATCGAGGAGCAACACTACGGGGCAGACCACCCGGAGGTGGCGAAGATCCTCGCCAACCTGGGGACTGTCTATGGACAGCTGGGCGACTACCAGCGGGGGAAGGAGCTGCTGGAACAAGGCCTCAAGATCCTGCAGCAATGCTACGGTCCAGACCACCGAGAGGTGGCGACGCCGCTCCACAACCTAGGGAATGCCTATGGACAGCTGGGCGACCACCGGCGAATGAAGGAGCTGCTGGGACAAGGCCTCAAGATCAAGGAGAAACACTACGGACCAGACCACCCCGAGGTGGCGATGACCCTCAACAGCCTGGCGAATGCCTTTGGTGAGTTGGGCGACTACCAGCGGAAGAAGGAGCTGCTGGAACAAGGCCTCAGGATCGTGGAGCAACAGTACGGTCCAGACCACCCCGAGGTGGCTAGGACCCTCGGCAACCTAGGGAATGCCTACGGAAAGCTGGGCGACTACCAGCGGCAGAAGGAGCTGCTGGAACAATGCCTCAAGATCTTTGAGCAATACTACGGACCAGACCACCCCGAGGTGGCGACGATCCTCAGCAACCTGGGGAGGGCCTATGGAGGCTTGGGCGACTACCAGTGGCAGAAGGAGCTAGTGGAACAAGGCCTCAAGATCCTGGAGCAACACTATGGTCCAGACCACCCGGAGATGGCGACGATCCTCGCCAACCTGGGGAATGCCTATGGAGACTTGGGCGACTACCAGCGGAAGAAGGAGCTGCTGGAACAAGGCCTCAAGATCGAGGAGCAACAGTATGGTCCAGACCACCCAGAGGTGGCGAAGATCCTCGCCAACCTGGGGACTGCCTATGGACAGCTGGGCGACTACCAGCGGGCGAAGGAGCTGCTGGAGCGGTCGTTGGAGATCTTCCAGCGCTTGCTTGGGCCCGGGCATCCGCACGTGGACCTGGTGCGCCACAATCTTGGAAAAGTCTGTCCACAGCTGGAAAGCTCGAGGCTGGGACCCCCCCCCAAACAAAACAAAACAAAATGCAGAGATCCTGAGGCCCAAGGCCTATGCTCATACTGCCACCGCCAAGGACAGCCAAGGACTGCGGGCATCCACGCGACCCTGCAGCAACCAGACTCGAAGGATTCTGCGCAAAATGCTGAGGGCTGGAGGGAGGGGGGCGTGGAGGGCTGCACTCAAAATCACTAACACTGTTTGTATGCTGGGGTGCGGGGGCAGCCGCTAGACACAACCTTCAGCAACTCGTGGCAGGGGTAGAGGATGGTAGAGGGATGACTATAGGGAAATGCAGTTTGCTGATGCTTTGCTTTTCCGGCTTCTCCTGCGTCGGACTTTCGGACTAGCCCTTTGTCACTGCCCCTACGGAGCCTTATAGAGTTGTTCGTATAGCTGTCCGCGGCACACTTGAGGTTGTGAGCTCTTGTTAACAGCGTATGCTAAGAAAGCAATGGCTGGGTGCTGTTCCCTCTTCCTAAGAGAGAGGGATGTTCTGTAAAGCATTGACGCATCAATCTATAGACGTGTACACAGATGTCGTCTTAGGGTGCGGAACGTCGGATGTGACCGATGGTACATGGCTCAAGATGCGGAAACAGAGGCGCTCCGAGGCTAGGGCTGTTAGGCCCGTTGTTAGGAGGCTTCAGGGGTGGAATCAGGCAGGTGAGGTGCCCCCTAGAAGGTTGCCTGAGCAGGCCGTGAACCCCCTTTTTTCTGATCGCTCCCGCACCTCCTTAGTTCCCTTCAGGGCTACTTTAGGAGCATGCGATTGTGTGGAGCTGCTTCTTGTCTGAGTGGGATTGGTTAGTGAGGTGACTGTTTTCTCGTTAGTACTTAGTAACCACGTATTTTAGACGAAGACACCCCATGGATTCTCGTGCAGTGCAAGAGCCTGATCCGCCGGATCAACAGGTTATGGTCGCCCAAGTCACGCCTGCGTTTCCGCAGACTGCAGAGAACCTGGAAGGTGAGTTGGCGGGGCCGATCTTGAAGTATATGCAACACTTGCTGGCGGAGCTGGAGCAACTTGGTTCGGCTACGAGAAAGGCTACTGCGACAGCGACGGCCCCGGCTCCTATGGCATCAAGTACCACCCCGACCTCGGCGCCTACGGCCTTGAAGGGCTTACAAGGGGCTGAGGCTGCTGCGAAGGCTGGTGCAAAGCCCAAGGCAGCTCCTGTTGGTGATGGGAAAAAGGTTTGCCAATGGTTTTTGGGACTGACAATGGGTGTCGCAATGGCCGGTCGTGTACCTTTCAGCATAGCTGGACTGGGTTGTCAACAGCAGACAGGTGCTTGCTTTGTGGCTCTAAACGCCACAGGGCCAAGGAATGCACCAACAACAAGGAGGGGTCGTCTCCAGAACGAGGTGGACCTCAGAGGCCTACTAGGACGGCGGCAACACCAGCGGCTACTTCGGGGAGCGCTTCGTTGGCCGCCGCCACCGTCGCTGAGGATCCGGCTGCTACCACGGTGCCCCCTCCCGCTAGTTCGTCCTCTACTACAACCCAAACAAGATGGATGCAACTAAGGTGACGGAGATCCTTAACGAGACAAACAAGATGTTGAAGGCCCTCACCGCGAACCAACCTGCGGCGCCTGAGCCGCCGTCGAGCTCCTTGGACCCGATTGAGATGATCCAGAAGCAGTTGGACGAGGTGCGGCGATTGAAGGTTCTGAGGGTGAAGGATTTTTCGGAGCCCTCGTCTGCCTTCAACAGTGCGGTGTCGTGGTATGAAGCGAGGCTGAGTTCCTCTACGGTGTCGGGCCCGCCAAGGTCAGAGAGTGAAGAGGCTCTTTTGGACAGCGGGGCTAGCCATGCCTACAGGGCCCCTTTGTCGGAAGGAAGCCGCCCGCCGTGTTGGGGTGGCTTTGGCTACTGGAGAGGAGCGGGTTATTCCGCAGAACTCCGGTGGCACCCTCTTGAGCGAGGGCGGATGCGAAGGCACCATCTTGCCTATGGGGCAGTTGGTCAAGCTTTTGGGGTGCAAGGTGCTGTGGACGCCAACCAAGCTTACTGTGGTTCACCCAGTACATGGCCGTTTCCAAGTACGCCTCAGGGGTCACTGTCCAGTCCTTCCAGTCTCGCAGGCACTTGAGTTGATAGCGGAGCTGGAGCAGAAGAGAGTGAATTCCTTTGAGAAAACTGTGCAGGAGTTGCAGCAGCAGATCAAGGTGATCAAGGAGAGCGGCCTCCAGGCTTGGACATGGAGGCAACATCTTCAAGCAGCCCTTGAAGGAGGAGATCGCACGCATGTGGCGGGTTTTCTCCATAAGAACCCAGTTTTCTTCACTGTCAATGCGGAGGTGTTGTTGGGAATTCCAGAGCAGGTGCCCGTTGATGGTAAGGATGGCTGGAAGCTGTTGAAGGGGACTCCTTGGTCCCGTGCGAAGCGCAAGGCCCTGTTCCAGAGCGACAACTGGGTGCTCCACTTGTTTGCAGGTGAAGAGAGGTCTGAGGAAGCCAAACGACGGGCCACTATGAAGAGATCTTTCTGGAGTGAGGCGCTGTCCGGCGATGAAGTGATGGTTGAAGTTGATGTTACCTCTTCGAGGGGACTTGATCTTCTACAGCGTGACGGGGTTTTCCGAGTGTTGGCTTGGGCAGGATTGAATGGGAAGATCAAGAGTGTCATTGGGGGCCCGCCTCGTCAGACGTTCCCCACGGCTAGTCAGAAGTGTGTGCCTGGCAGCCAGCATGTGAAGGAGACCCAGCTGATTGTCCGCATGATGACCAATTTCTACATGGCGGAGGAAGGCAGGACAGCATTGTGGAGGGCAGGTCGGCTGATGGTTAAGCCTCATGTGGGTTTCCTGTTGGAGCATCCTGATGAGCAGAAGGGCGAGTTGATGTCACTTTTCCAAACTCCTCTTTGGAAATCCTTTGCACTGGACAACCTTATGGGAGAGGTGCCTGTTACCACGAATGGCAAGAGCGTCGCCCTGGGAGGCAACATGGATTTATGGCATCTACATGGGGCCCAGCTTGGGTCGGAGGGCAAGGTCAGTTTGGCCTATGGAGATGATTGCCCATGTCGCGTATGCTCTGAAGGCTTGGGTTGGCTTGCGCAATCATGAAGGGCTGCTGTCTTCTTTGACGAGGAGATCGTGGCTTCAACCCTGCGAGTCAGCGGAGTTGAACAAGTTTGATGTTAAGGACTGGCGGTTACATGTTCAGCGCGACCACCTACCTTATCGGCGTGATTGTCGAGTATGCGTTGAACGAGCAAGTGGGAAGCCGCATCGTCGGTTATACCACCCCTCTCCTTGCGTGCTTTCGGTGGATACAGCCGGACCATTTCGGGCAAAGGGTGCTGGAGGATATCGATATTTACTGGTGGGTTGTTACTGACATCCTAGATTGGGAGGAACGAACCCTGGAGATGAGAAGAAGCCCCTTGTCGCGCCCGAGGAGATCTTGCCGAGACCAGAAGATGATCTGGATTGGATATTGGAGGATGATGATGTTGGTGGTGGTGTTGGTGACGTAGATCCCCCTGAACCGGATCAGGAGGAGGAGGACCTCAACCCAGCCGATAAGGAGATCTGAGGACTCGGAAGAAAGCCGAGGCGCTAAAGGCCACACAGGAGATGTACATCCAGCTGCGGAGCTCAGGGTTTCCTTTGAATCGCCTCCATATGGATAGGGCCAGAGAGTTTCAGTCTGGTGCGTTGGAACACTGGGTGGCGGCTCGGGACGTGGACCTCTCGCGAACTCAAGGCTCTGATCCAGCTCAGAATGGTACAGCTGAAAGAGCTGTGGGATATGTCAAGATGAGAATGAGGATCTTGTTAGCCCAGGCCAAGGAGTTGAGTGGTTTGGAGGACGATGTTGTGAAGACTTGGTGGCCTATGGCGGCGGACACAGCGGTGACTCAGCAACAGTCAATGGCTATGGGTCGGAAGTTCCCCTCGGCAGCACGGTTTGGTTCCAGAGTTTTCACAAAGCGAAAGGGATATGGTACAGGCAGCCCTGGCGACCTTAAGCCAAAGTGGATTGGTGGCTACTACCTGGGCCCTGCAAGGTCTGTACCTGGTGGCCACATGGTGTACACAGATGAGGGCAACTTGTGGTTCACTACATCCATTCGCCAATTTGAGGATCGTGAAGTTGAAGGGGAAGCCTCGGCGGCCCCTTTGGCGCCTGATCTACTACCAGCACGACGGGTTAAAGGAAAGACCAGAGCCGTGGAGCTCGCAAGTGGAGCAGGGCTGTTGCCAGGTGCGTCTGATGGTTCAAGGGAGATTGTGTGAATGCGGAGGGTGCTTTGGGAGCCATGGCGGCTCTAACACAGTTCATCTCTGATTCCGAAGATGAGCGCGAGTCCTGGGACGTGGTGTCCGATGACCCGATGCTGTGTGAATTACATCAGCCGTCGACTTCATCTACTACAAGTTCGTTCGTGGGTCCCAGGGGTTTGGCGGCGGAGTTTCGGGACCATGGGAAGTTTACCATGGACGATTGTTTGGCAGTGTTGGAGGCGGAACAGTTCGTTAAAACGCGGAAGCAAAGGCAGTCAGCCTGGAAGGAGAATGCTCCTCCTCCAGTCCATACAACGCTTGGGGCGTATCAAAGAGGACCGTTTGTGGGTGTTACCAATGGCACGACCCGCCACGAGGACCTAGCTCGCTACCTCGCGGAGTTCATAAAGTTGCACAGCGGAGACCACTGTTCGTTTACTTCCCTTACAGTTGCAAGAGATCTATGTACGGGAGTACACAGTGATCGTTTTAACCTGAGGAACTCCAAGAACTATGTCCTAACCTTGGGAGATTTTCAAGGCGGTGGTATTTGGCAAGAAGGACTACCTGGAGGTCATTCCAGGGTATCAGTTGAGTCCTCCTCTGGGGCTGTTCTCGAAGGCTTTGTGTGGCCGGTGAAAAGACGGATTGTGGAGGTGGACCCCAAACGCCTGCACCGGACGATGCCTTGGACAGGAGGCCCTAAGTGGACTGTGATCGCCCACACGATTGGAGCAGCCCATAAGCTACCTGAAGATGAAGTACAAAGGTTGAGGGGCCTTGGTTTTCCTTTACGACCTGTTGAACTCAATTCCGTATCTACTGGCAGGCTGGATCAAGATGGATCTTGCTCATTTGAGGGTCCTGGTGGAGAACTCTGGCGGCACAGTGTTTCCCAGTTGGAGTTTGGGGAGGAGATGATGGATAGGTTGTGGATGCGCCGAGTTCTTGATGAGGAGGAGCAGCTTGCTGGAGTTGTTCCTGGGGAACTTCGGACAGAGCTTGAGGGAGTGGAGCAGGCCAACCTTGATGCGGCAGAGGTTCTTCATCTTCGGGAAACCCGAGGCTTATGTGACCGTTGTGATGAGGAGCAATGGCTGGGCCTTTGTCGTATGACTGAGACCGAGGAGGAGACCTTTGGTGTCGAGACGATGTTGGAGGAGCTCAAGGAGCCCCTCAAGGTTGTCTTCACGGTTGCCTTGGATGAGGTGAAGAACTATGCAGGCCGTTGGTCGGAGGCTATGCGCAAGGAGGTGAAGGCTTTACTTGATGCTAAGGCCTTGGTTCCTCTTTCGCCACGTGAACAAGCCGATTTGGAAGCCTCTGGAAAGCTTGTGGTGCTCCCCGCAAACGCAAAGGGAGTATTTACAATAAAGCCGCCGGACTTGGATCGCACCCAGGATGAGCTTGACAATCCCCTTCCTCAAGGTTCTCCCCTCTTTGTTAAGAGAAAAGCCAGGTTGGTGATATGTGGAAATTTCCAAGGCCGGCAAGCTCGAGAAGATTCCTATGCTGGTGGGTGTCAAATCGACTCGCTACGAGCTATGTTAGTGCTGGCAGCCCGTCGCGGTTGGCGACTGGCTTCAACGGATATTCGTAATGCCTTTATTTTAGCCCCTATCAAGGAGGAGGACGAGGAAGACGACGGCATCATCTACGCCTTGTTTCCTCCGAAGGTGTTTCAAATGGTTGTGGTTCCGTATTGCTACCAACTTTGGCGAGTTGATCGAGCTCTTTATGGTTTCCGGCGGAGCCCTCGGCTTTGGAGCAAGTTTCGGGACAAGAGGCTGCTGAGAGCGAGGATTCCTTTTGGCCAGGGGCACTGGATGCTGAAGCAGAGCAAGGCTGATGCTAATGTGTGGGCCGTGACTTGTGTTGGACCACAAGGTGATGTTGAAGTCAGGGCCTACCTCAACATTTATGTTGACGATGTCCTGTATGCTGGGAACCCAGACGAAATCATTGCCGTCCACAAGTGGTTGACATCTGAGTGGAAGGCCTCAGAGTTATCATGGGCCACCGGGGAGTCTATTATTAGGTTTCTTGGGTTGGAGATTGGGGTCACGAACGGCGGTGTGAGGATTGGTCAGCAAGCCTATGTTGACGAGCTGGTGCGACATCATAAACTGCAGGACAGCAAGGGGTATGGAACCCCTTGTCCCCAAGAATGGCTTCTTGGAGAATGTGATGAAGAAGTTCGAGAATATTCGCCCGCCCAATTGAAGCGAGCTCAGGTCCTGACAGGAGAGCTCCTGTGGCTTAGTGGCCGGTCTAGACCGGACATTATGCATAGTGTGGCAACGATGTCGTCTTTGTGTGTCAAGAACCCGGAGTTAGTGGAACGAATCGGCCGCCGGGTATTGGGCTACCTGAAGAACACAGCGGCGATGTGCTTATGGTACAAACCTGAGGTGGACAAGTACGACGTGCTTGGCTATTCGGACGCGTCGTTTGCCCCGCAAGGCTCGCGGAGTGTTGGTTGCTCTGTGGCGTGCTATTTGAATTGCCTTGTGAGTTGGCGTTGCGGCCGACAGAGCCTTGTGGCTCTGTCGGTAGCAGAAGCGGAGCTGCTGGAGGCTGTGAACTGCGTTCAGTTGATGCTGGGGCTGTCTAGCTTTGTGGAGGAGCTGCAGTCCTCAAAGCCGCTCCATGGGTTGAGAGTTGACAACCAAGCTGCTGTTGGTTTGACTACCGAAAGCGTTGGTACATGGAAAACTCGACACCTTCGAGTAAGGGCGTTTGCCCTCAGGGAATCCGTTCGTACTGGTGAGTTGAACATTTCCCATGTGGAATCATGTGGAAGGCCTTCGCCAGCTCGGTGACCTAGGGACGAAATGTTTTCCCCGTCCTCGGTTGGAGCAGCTTCGGAACCGTTGGGGCTTGAGAGAAGGTGCAACCGACGAGGAGCCCGTCGAGAACGCTGCCTCTCTGGCTGGTTTGGCTACAGGCCCTGGTTCGAGTGCCCCGATGAACGGAGTGCCTGGTGTGATTGCCCGGCTGGCACTGATCCTAGCATGGTTGGTTCAAGGAACCCGTGCTTCGAAGCCTAAGGCTGACTTGGAGGTGAGTGTTGCTTGGGAGCTATATGGTGTTGCGCTGCTATGTGTCATTGCGGCGATTGCGCTGTGGGAAGCTGTCTTGAATGGGTGTCGTTGAGGAGGAGAGGTTCAGTTGAAGAAGTTCGGGGTGTTCGAAGGTTACGTCGTCTACAGCAAGCTGTGCAGGAGGAGGTTGCCCGCTACGGTTTGGATGATCCTGTTGATCTTCGTGAACCGTCGACTGCAGGAGCCCGGACCTACTACCTCGACTACCTCGAGATCATCTTCCTCGATGCCCTTCCCCTTCAGAGGAAGGTCAGAGCACCTCTCTGGAAGGAGGACCACAGCCGACGCTGTGGTACAGACGGAACCTACCGACGATGGCTACCTACAATTCAGTGGGCCATTCGTTATGAGCGAGCATGGAGACCGTGTGCACTATCATCCCAAGTGCCACGGCTTACGCAACGCCCTGACGCGCAGACGTCAGGTCACTTTGTGCCATTACTGTGAACGGCGTCAGCGGCTTTATCAGTTCAATGGTTGATCTGGTTTAGAAGGCTACTGTTAGGCCTTTCTGGTGCGACAGCTACACGGAGGAGCAGGTTTCCGGATGCTCTCTACAACCTGAGGAGGAGTGTTCGTATAGCTGTCCGCGGCACGCTTGAGGTTGTGAGCTTGTTAACAGCGTATGCTAAGAAAGCAATGGCTGGGTGCTGTTCCCTCTTCCTAAGAGAGAGGGATGTTCTGTAAAGCATTGACGCATCAATCTATAGACGTGTACACAGATGTCGTCTTAGGGTGCGGAACGTCGGATGTGAGTGACCGATGGTACATGGCTCAAGATGCGAAAACAGAGGCGCTCCGAGGCTAGGGCTGTTAGGCCCGTTGTTAGGAGGCTTCAGGGGTGGAATCAGACAGGTGAGGTGCCCCCTAGGAGGTTGCTTGAGCAGACCGTGAACCTCCTTTTTTTTGATCGCTCCCGCACCTCCTTAGTTCCCTTCAGGGCTATACTTTAGGAGCTTTCGATTCTGTGGAGCTGTTTCTTGTCTGAGTGGGATTGGTTAGTGAGGACTGTTTTCTCGTTTAGTACTTAGTAACCACGTTTTTTAGACGAAGACGCCCCATGGATTCTCGTGCAGTGCAAGAGCCTGATCCGCCAAATCAACAAAAGTTTACGGTTTAGGGTCAGCGCCCGGGCACCCTGAGTCAGGAGCAAGACAGACAACTTGCCTTTCAAGGAATGAGGCTCGCTGAAATCACTGCCAATCACGTAGAGTTCGTGCGGGCCACTGCTTGTGCTGGGGTAGCCGGGGGTGCTTTGTTGGTCCTGAGGGTGGCTTGACTGAGCAAGCAGCAGCGCTGTTGTTTCCCTTCACGCGGTCCAAACATCAGTACACTTCGGGCGCTTGAGCACAAGCGGCGCTGTTGAGTTGCTGCTGAGTCGCTGTTGCATGACACGTCATCATGCGGTCCAAGTGCCAAAACAGGCGCAGCTGAAGCAGCGGCAAGTAAGCAGCGGTGGCACCTTTGATTCATTGTAGCATCGTACGTTCTTTTGCTCTCCTAACGTCAATCAAGTGCCGGTGCTTAAGCAGGGGCAACATTGTTGAATCCCATCACGCCGTCCAATCATCAATGTACAAGAGTCGGCGCTTAAGCGTAGGCAGCGCTGTTGATTCGCCGTTCCTTCACGGTTATCAAGTTATCCATAAATCAGTTCGGTGCATAACAAGGGGCTGGGGCGGTGATATTGATTCCCATCATGCGGGTCAAGCATTTGTGCAAGCGTCAGGGCTTAAGCAGGGGCGGCGCTGTTGCTTCGCCGGTGCTTAAGCAAGGGAAACTCGACTGATTGTTGGATTCCATCAAGCGTAGGCGGCGGGCACTTACGCGAGGGCAGCGCTCTCAGTTGCATCATGTGGTCCAGGCGTCATTACAAGCGCAAGCGCTTAAGCAAGGGCGGCATTGTTGTGGGCGACGCTGTTGATTCCCACTGCGCGGTACAAGCATCAGTACCACCGCGGCAGCTTAAGCACAACCGGCGTTGTTGATTCGCCGTTGAATTGCGCGTTACCATGCGGCATACAGGAGTGGCGGCGCTTTTGATTCGCTCTTGCATCAGGCACAGCGCTGTAGGTTTGCTGTTGCATCCCACGTCATCACGAGGTCCATGCCTTGTAGACTTAACAGAACCAAAGAAAGACACGGCATTGTTTCACTGCCGAGCTTCCTTTAACTGTTATGATCGTGGCAATTCTATCACCTTCTGAACAGTTTATGCTGCACTCAGGCCTCATGGTTTAGGGGTCGGGTTTTAGGGTTTCAGCCCACAAGACATTATCATCTTCATTTGAAGCAGCAACATCACATTGACATGAGGCCTCACATGTGTCAAAATCCCCCCCCCTCCCTCAGCATCGCCCGTCCATCATTTCCAGTCGTGAAGAGGCATGGTAATTTCGACGTCATCTAAAGTTCTAAAGCTGGCGGACATTTTGTGAAATTTGCCCGGCACGTGCAACATCATCATTGTCGCACACTTCGTTGCAGTACTAGTTCGTTTGTGTGCTGCTGGAGTGGTTTTAACTAGTTTTAACAATAAATTAGTTTGCTATGCATGTTGGATGTTGTTTCTTTATGGATCCGTGCTTGTGTATCCTTCGCTGCCTTCGCTATGTTTGTGAAGTGGCTCACGGAGTTGTGTAGAGCTTCATTCCGTGCCCGCTTCAGTGTGCTATGCTTCCTCTAGGCCTCTAGGTTCCTGGTTTCGTGCTTGGCGTGATCTCTTTGTTCGCCAAAATCTGATTGTTTTTCCTTATCATCTTCGTGCTCACTGCGGGTCCAGTGGCAGTATGCTGTTTCGGTTTCTCTCTGTATCTCTGTCTCCCCGTCTCTCCGTCTCCCCGTCTTGCCAGCTCTCCGTCTCTCCTTCTCCCGGTCTCGCTGTCTCTCTGCCTCTGTCTCTCCGTCTCTCTGTCTCCGTCTCTGTCTTTCTGTCTCTCTGTCTCTCTGTCTTTCTGTCTCTCTGTCTCTCTGTCTCCCTGTCTCTCTGTCTCTCTGTCTCTCTGTCTCTCTGTCTGTGTGTCTCTCTCTCTCTCTCTCTCTCTCTCTCGGTAGCTATTCTGTTTCCGATTGAAGAGGGTCGTTTTACACACATCTGCGATCCAAGAGGTCGTGTCCTGAATCCTGACTTTCCGACAGCTCAGGAAAACTTACCATATCAAGCTCAGCAAAGGCGTGTTCTGCATGTCCTGAACACACATGGTCACACGATTCGACTCACAGCCCGTAGCTCGCATCTGCACTTTAGAATGTTAGCTTGCGCCGGGTTGAACGAGTTGCTCCAGCGTGAGAAGAGAAGCTTCTCGCTTTCGGAGGCTTTGTTGCCTACTTGATCTTCCTAACAGTATTCGTGCAGCTTGCCTGATGTGGGTCTTTGCAGAGTCTTGCTGCTACCGGCAGCAGTTTGTTCTGCGGCATGCAGCAAGCAACAGATGGCTGCAGCACGCCGCTCGTTCACCAGGTTTGCTTACACGCTGGTCATCTACTATGCACCTCAGATACTCGGGTGGGATCCGCCGGAGTACGAGTTTCTGGGGTGTTTGGGCATCCATTGACCGGGTGTTTCTTTCAAAGCCAAGGAGTGATTCTGAGCAAAGAGGCACGACGTGCTGTTGTCGAAGCTGCTTCCCGTTCATCGCGTTTCATCCGCACTCTTTTTCGCAGGTGTGTCCTTCGAGCACTTACTCTTCTTTGATGTAGCGTATGCATCTCGATCCTGATCAGCTCTTGATAATCGGGAGGAGCCTTCTGCATGTGCAGTGTCGCTCAGTGTGGAGCCATCCTGTTCTTCATTCTGATGCAAGTTCCCCGCAGAGTGGCCCATCACTCAGTTTCGTTTCTCCTGCTTTGAGTGCTGCTTTGGAAGTAGTGCCTCAGTTTTACAGACGTGATATTCTGCGCAGCGCAATGAAGCAATATGGAAGCACACACACCAGTGTGGGAAAGTGAGCGCGAGCCCGTGCATGGTAGATCTCCGCAAGCCCTGTACAGCGATCACTGTCAAGGCTATTTGCAAGGTTTCCACATAACTCCCAGATTCCATTAAATCATTGGGCAGCCGGAAAGGTACGCCATTTGTTCATACAAGCGGCTATGCGATTCATCAGAGAATAAGACACC